GGGGGGGGCAGAAAGGTTGGGAAAAGCTCGGCTTTCCAAGGTTCTTAGAAGATTATCATCAGTCTACCCCCATAGGCACGAGGAGACAGCCCAGCTGCATTCAAAGGAATGAGCCAGTCTTTGGAGACTGTACTGAAAGAGGGAACACAATTCAGAGGCAGTTGGAGAAGAGGTTGGTTGCACAGAGCTGACAATCACTTGGGAGGTGATCCATCTGGAATGCAGAATTTCAAAGTCCTGGGTGGTTTTTGTGTTGGGAGGAGGGATGGGGCAGGGAAGAAACATGCTCAGGCTAACTTCAGGAATTCCTGCAGGGTGTTCTGTTCCACTGCTTCCACAAACAGTTCGTAGTCCTGCCAGATGGGAGAAGAGCAAACGAATAGGGAAATGTGCAGTTAAAGGCTAGAAATCTCCTAGTATCAGACCAAAACTCTCTCTGCTGTCAAGGCATAAAACAGGAGAAGAGCAGCTTTTATTACCGAATGTTCAAAGCCAGCTAAGGACTTGTTCTTGTGCATCCAAACAGATTATATAGCCGTCTCCTTTGTAATCCTCTTTAGATGCCTATCTTCACTTACAACTGAGAGGTTAATCAGATGTCAAAAGTAATGTTTGATGTAATATAAATTTAATTATACTTACATTGCTTAAATACAGTTGATGCTATTATCCCCCATGTATTTCTTAACTTCCCTTTCTATCACATGTAAAATGATGATTTGGTGGCAACATCTGCATGATCCCTGGGAGAAATAACTAAGACTTTCTGAAATAAGTGGCTTGTTGGTGTTCTAGCTTAGACATCAGCCTGGGTGTATATCCAGTCACAACTACTGCAAAAGCCACAAGTACCTTATATCTTCTCCGCTATTCTTCCTTCCTTTCAAAGCTATTCTGTCTGATACAAACTGAGACACTCCTCACTATGAGCCTTTAAACAGGATTTGGCCCAAGTACCAGGGACAGGACCACAGCCTTCATGATTAATACAGTCCATAAGTGCTAGATAATGCCCAAAAAACCCTTTTTTCACAGAACAAGGCTATCAATCACTTTGGCGTGATGGAATTTTCACAAATGAGAATAAATGCCTTTTAACCTGGAAGGTGTCACTTGTCAGCATCAAATGTCATAAAATTAAGGCACATTTTAGAGACACTTTCAGGTGGAGGGAAAACAATAGAGAGTATCCTTATGTCCAACAGGGCTACCTCTGCAAATGACCCTCTGACTTTGTCAGGAAATGGCTCAAGAGCATAATTCAATTTAGGCTGGAGTCAATATTCATGTTCCTCAAAGAGATGCATTACCAGAGTCCCTTATATTTCCTCCTGCTGTCAGCAAGCCAAATAACTCTCCATCACGTTTAAATTAATGATTCATTTTATATTCTGAGACATTTTGTAATAAGCACCTAAAAAGGCATGAAAGTGTATGGAGAAAAAATGGGATTTTCCCTCCCTGTCCTATTCATTGTCCAGTTTCAGACCAAGACCAGCAAGACAACAGCTTTAATTTCCTCAAGGGCCTTGTACTGTAGCATGTGCTATTTAAAAAAAAAAGTTTGGAAATAGCAAATGTTGCCCTACCACTTCATGTCTGAAAAGGACGGTTGACGAAAATCCATCTAAACGTTTGTCGGAGGAGCCTAAATCCCCAGATGCAGAACCCCTCCAGATGTTGAGGAACTACAACTCCTAGCAGCCCCAGCCAGCATGGCCAATACTGAGGGATGCTGGGAGTTGTAGCTTAGCAATATTTGGAGGGGTAGAAGCTTCCCTTCCCCATTCTAAATAACACACAATATCACAAGCAAGTGTACCACTATGGTCTTACATATTACACACAAGCAGTTGTTACTCTGGGCTACTTCATGCACAGCCCTTGGTCATGCAGGTCATTCATTCATTCATTCAGTGTGAATGCTGAAATCTAGGCCTAGTCACAAAATGAGGACTCAGAACCAGTACTGCATCCTGTGAATTGTAAACCTGCCTCTATATAAAACCACAAGTTAGTTACTAAAAACCAGGATTTCCAGCTGGCATAGCCAAGAGTCCTGCTGGCTAGGAATTCTGGGTAACACAGACCCAACCTGCATGGAAAGTACAGAGAGAAGGGTGACACTAATACTGGTTTAAAAGGGGCCAGCAGAACTGAACAAAGTCCAGGTTAAAAGCAAAAGAAACTATGAAGCCAAGAGATAAGCAGTTAATGTAAACTGTGATAGACACCAGATGGCAGCACTTAGCCAACCTTGGCTGATCTTTAAAAAAGGGGAAAAAGATGGCTAAGCAGGGATGGACATAATATTCTGATGAGAGCCCACCAGGGAATCTCAGGATTCCCGCTTAGACTGGGAAGTTAAAACAAAGCACCATGGAAGAAGTCAGTGGTGACTTCTGTATTGTTGCTAAATGCATGGATATGCCGGTGCCAGGAAGTTAAGATACTCAAGGGTATCTTTACCATGATGATTGGTCCCCTCCCCACTTCCAACTTTTCCTTGCTCTTGTTAAAGGCAAAGAAGCCAGAAATCCTTGGCCATATATTTTAGATCACTTAAAAATTTACCAGTAGATTTATTTTCAACTGTACAAGAAACCGGCCAGTCCGTTTTGTTGTGAAGGTAGCGTGCATCCCTACATTATTTTTTTTTTTTTTGCCTTCGAGTCAGTCTTGACTCCTGGAGACGGCCTGGACAAGTCCCTGCAGTTTTCTTGGCCTTACGACATTATTAATACACAAAGGCATGGTGAATAGCCTCATGAACCAGGATCCATTCAAGTGGCTCGTTCTTTAATGAAATGCAGAACTTTAAAGATCCTACTGCTGTCCCATGGAAAACTCTCCCAAACCGATATAAAATACAGTATATACTACCATGCCAATGGCCACTCACCCCGCAGTAGTGGTCCCCATTGAAAATCTGGGGAGGAATGGCTTTTGGGTTGCCTGATTTGGTCCTCATTTCTTCCCGAAGGGCATTATCTTGAGAGATATCCACCAGGTTGTACTTGATATTCTTTCCATCCAAGATCCTGGTCACTTCACTCTGCTGGGATTTGATCTGTGGGGCGCACACATCAGTGGGGGGAAGGAAGAAGAGACAAGAGGGAAGAGGATGGATTATCCTGCACTGGGACATGCAGGGAAGGCAGCAATCCTACACATCAAGGCACCTTGTAATACTAAGAGCCAGAGGCAGGGTGTGGCAGAGGCTACTCCGGGTGAGTGAATCCAATCCTGGCTAAATACAAGCAGAATCCGGGAGGTGCCAAGGCCTCCACTAATGATACTTCCTGTGTCAAGGAGATGGCAGGCCCTCACCAGGGAGGCAGAAGAGGATGGTTCTCGCTGGCTGCATCTGGAAGGGAGAATCCACCCCTGGAGGTGGGGAAAGAGCCTTTGTAAAGGAAGATCCTCCTTCCCCTTTGTCACAGGATTGGACTTCTTCCCGTTCAGATTTTCCTCAAATTGCTCAGACGTCTCCACTGGCGTGGGAGGAATTTGGAACCGAAAAGGAGCGCTCCCATTACACTTAAGGAAGGGCGAGGGAGCCATCCTCTTGGAAAACGTAACGGGAGCAGAAGCCCACCTAAAGCTAGGAGGGAGGATTCAGAGCCCAGCGCGCATTTCCGCCCTCCAGATGTCCTGGCCGGGGGACGACGAGTCAGTCGAACGCATCTGGGAAAAGACCTGGCTGGGGGGAGGCGAGAGGTGGAGAGACGAAAGCGCAGCGAGAGCAGGCTCGTTTCGGGTGGAGGGCGCAGGCTGCTGCCCCAGGGGAGGGGGGGAGACCCCACCCCCGCGAAGGGGGCGGCACCGACATCTCGCGCGGGCGAGCGCTTGGGGAGGGGGCTGTGCTTTGCTTACCTCCCGAGAGCCGGTCACCGAAGTGCTGTAGACCGTGAGACAGGCCATGGCGCTCGCCGCTTCCAGCCGCTCCCTCTTCTTCGGCTGCCGGATGGTGGAGATGGATCGGGAAGCGAGCGAGTGGGCAGGGCTCCGTTGCCTCCCAACCCCGGCCGCACGTGATCGCGGCGAGACCAAGGGGGCGGGTGGCCGCGAGCAGGCGGAACAGGCGGTGCGCCGCCGGCGAAGCTGCGGTCCAAGGTGGCTGGCTGGGGGAGGGTCCGCGGGGCCTCGCAGCCCTTCCCCTTTCGGTCGAGAGCTGCGGCCGAAGGCTCGGACGCGCCCTGCCCTGCCCTGCCCGTTCGGGCCTCCTTGCAGCGGGCGACTGTCGAGGAGTCACTCGCCCAGAGCACGGCTGGGGTGGCTGCCAAGTAAGGGGGCGTTTGCAGGCGCGGAAGGCCTCTGACTCATCAACTGGCCGTGCTTATTTGTGTATTTCTCTCTCTCTCTCTCTCTCTCTGGGTGTGTGCAGATCCAGTCGTCGTCGCTACAAAACAATTGCTCCGCTGTTCACTAAATTTG